TGACTCCTGCTCTGGGAGGCGCATCCACTGGGGGAGAATCTGAACCTCCAAGGACTCAGACTGGAAAATTTATGGAGACCCCAAAGCCTCGGCCATAACCTAAACTGAAGTAGTTCTTGACCTTTTTGGGGACTCAGGACCTTTTTTTTTTTTTTTTTTTTTTTGAGACGGAGTCTCACTCTGTTGCCTAGGCTGGAGTGCAGTGGCACCATCTCGGCTCACTGCAAGCTCTGCCTCCCGGGTTCACACTATTCTCCTGCCTCAGCCTCCCATGTAACTGGGACTACAGGCGCCCGCCACGGTGCCTGGCTAATTTTTGTATTTTTAGTAGAGACGGGGTTTCATCGTGTTAGCCAGGATGATCTCGATCTCCTGACCTCGTGACCCGCCCGTCTTGGCCGCCCAAAGTGCTGGGATTACAGGCTTGAGCCACCGCGCCCGGCCTCAGGACCTTTTGATAATCTGATGAACTCTTGTGACTCTATCCTCAGGAAAATGTGCATAGGAACACATACACATATAATTTTATGCACAATTTCTCATGGTTCACTCTATCTTCACCATCAAATTCCCCCAAACCTCTCCATGGATTCCCACATTAGCACTTACAGTTCTACTGTCAGAATCCAAAGCTTGCTAGAGTCATGAGGATGGGTGTTGATCTAAACCTAAGGAGGCCTTAGAAGATATCATCTATCTTGCTTTATCCTAAGGAGCAATAGGCTGAGTAGAGGTATTCCCTGGTGCCTCCAAGAGTGCCCAACCTGCCAATTGAACATTTTCTGGATTCCTGGCTATTGACTAACCAAGTCACTAACCTAAGCACTGCTGGCCATTGTGCTTCTCCAAGCCCTGGTTGAGAATTTTAAAGAGCAACACAACTTACCCCATTTCTACCAGTCTGGCTTTTGAGTTCCACTTGTTTTAAATGACTCGCCCTCATTTCTTCCTTTTTCAAATTAAAGCATTTAGGAAAGCAATTTTAAAAAGAGGTTGATATAGGGTGGGCAATGCAGGCTCATATGCACTCAAAATAATTCTGATTTCTTCTATCAATAGTTGCTGGTCTAATTAGAATTTAGAGAAATCCTTAATTCAGCTCAGGTCCAAGGCTTAAATTCTACAATTACCTGCATACCTGGCTCATGGGAGAGGTGGAAGTTTAGAAGCAACCTACAGTTTGAGGTCTCGGTAAAAGGGAGGGAGTCTGAACAGGGGTATAATGAGGGAGGAGTTGATAGGGGTGAGAATGGAGAGACATCAAAAAGGTAAGGGGAATGAAGGAGAGTTTAGTAGAGGGAAGCAACTGGAAGACAGGATGGAAAAGGATTTAACAGGGAAATGAGTCTATTTTGTTGTTGCTTAATTTAGTCAAACTGCTCATTAACTTTAGCCAAAGACTCTTAGTGAAGCAATTATTAAATCAGAATTTCATTTGGAGGCCTTGCATACCAATTAAAAAATGCTGCCCATTGGGCCTGAGAAAACTTATTTCCTTTTTTTTCTAAAGTACTTCTCAAATGAACAATTTTGTTCTAGTCAAGACTTCCCCAGAGTGGCCACTGAAAACTCAAATTATCCTTGATGAAGTTACGTCGTTTAGAGATGGGCACAAGAATTAGCATTGTAATGAGAGTAAGTATAAGAAGCAGGAGTTTTTCCTAGAGGAGGCAAGGATTTCTACTTGGACAACCCCACGAGTGCTAGCAGTGGTCAGTAGAAATGTGAGGCTGGAGCACTTCATGTCTCGAGTCCCCAGCATGATGACCGTCCTCCTCCCAACGCAAGCTTGACCATCTGCACCACCAGAAGACAAAAGCCAGCCAGAACACTCTCTGTGGAGCCAAGCCAAGCACTTAGACAAAATCCTGAGATGGAAGGAGAATCCCATCCAGTTCTATTAGTCACTCACAGCAAAATTCATCCAGGTGGATATCAGCCCAGTGAGAACTGTACACTCACCAGTCTGTGAGGCTGGCTCAACCAACAAGCTTACAGAGTCTGCGCCTGCATTCTACCTTGTAAGTCTCCTTCTGCCACAAACAACAATTTCAGTGAGGACAACGCAAAACAGAAACATAAAAGAGAGCAAAGAGGGATGAAAAAGAATGGCTTAATTTCACCAAGGATGCCAATCAAATGGGCACCCATATCAAAACCCAGGTACCAAGCTGAGAATAAAACCTAGGAGGTCAAGGTAGAGAGAGCAGAGTCCAGACAAGGTACTCACTGACCATGTCAGCAGTGACTCAACAAGCCCACAAGCAGCAAGGGACAGGGACCTCAAGTACCACTCCTGGGTGAAGGATGCTGCCCTCTGGGACCTGAGTGCAGCTTTGCCAGCACCTGAACTGCCTTTGAGGTCATTCCTCCCTTTTTTTTTTTTTTTTGACGGAGTCTTGCCCTGTCGCCCAGGCTGGAGTACAGTGGCGCGATCTCAGCTCACTGCAAGCTCCGCCTCCCGGGTTCACGCCATTCTCCTGCCTCAGCCTCCTGAGTAGCTGGGACTACAGGCGCCCGGCACCTCGCCCGGCTAGTTTTTTGTATTTTTTTTTTTTCAGTACAGACGGGGTTTCACCGTGTTAGCCAGGATGGTCTCGATCTCCTGACCTCGCGATCTGCCCATCTCGGCCTCCCAAAGTGCTGGGATTACAGGCTTGAGCCACCGCGCCCGGCCCATTCCTCTCTTCTTGGAAGGATAACACATGTTTGCAGCTGAGTAGCTCTATTAGCCCATTTCCTGCTTGTAGAACCCCAGGAGTCTGACAGCCTTTCTTCATTTCCTCCCATCTCTGTCCCTTCAGTCCAAGCTGGCAGCATTTCTGCTGAGATGGTTGACTGGATCCACAAGCGGCACACTGAGCTCTCTCTGGCAAACGGTTGTCCAGCCACACTTTCGGCCCTGTTTCCAGAGCTCACTATCTGGATATGCTGAGAATCTTCTGAAACATCAAGTGCTGATTTCTTTTTACTAAGCAGTCCTTTCTTCGATTCACTTGTCTCCTCTTGCATTTTACCAAAAGCAGCAAGAAGAAGCCAGACCACGTCTTCAACGCTTTGCTTAGAAATATCCTCAGCTAAATATCCCATTTCATTCCTTATGAGTTCTACTTTTCAAATAAATAGAACACAGTTCAGTCGAGTTATCTGCACTTTGTAACAAAGGTCTTCTTTCCTGCAGCTTCGTGTAACAGGTTTCTCATTTCCATCTGAGGCCTCACTGGAAGCACCTTTGACAATCATATTTCTACAACAGTCTCCCACAGGCAATCTAGGCTTTTTCTGTCAAACGTCTCAGAACTCTTCTAACCTCTACCCATTACCAAATTACAAAGCCACTTCCACATTTTTAGTTATTTGTTACAGAAGCCTCCCACTTCCTGTTACCAAAATCTGTTATTAGTTTGCTAGGGCTGTCATAACAAACTACCACAGACTGGGTGGTGTAAGCAACAGAAATGTATTGTCTCACAGTTCTGGGGGCTGGAAGTCCAAGATCACTGTGTGGGCAGGTTTGCTTCCTCCTGCGTGCTGTGAGGCAGAACCTGTTCCATGCTTGTCTCCCAGCTTCTGGTGTTTTTCTGACCATCTTTGCTGCTCCTTGGCTTGTAGATGCGTCACCGCGATCTCTGCCTTCGTCTTGATGTGGTGCACTGTGTATGTGTGTCAATGTCCACATTTATCCTTTCATAAAAACACCAGTAACATTGGCTTGGGGCTCCACCCTACTCCAGTATGACCTCATCCTAACTAATTGCATTTGCAATGAGCCTGTTTCCAAGTAAGGTTGCATTATGAGGCACTGGCAGTTAGCAGTTCCACACATGAACTTGGAGGGATGCAATTCAGCCTATAACAAACTGTTTCCATATATGTTTTGTATTTTTAAAACCTATCCTTATTTCCTTAAAAATGAATAATTTCTTAAGTCTTTGATAGAATCTGATTGCATGCAAGAAAATTTCTGCTTTAATTAATTCAGATTTCTTTTTCAATTAAAGCTTAGTTTTAAATTAACATGTAAAGAAAAACTTAGGTACACGATAATCTCTGTGATTAAACAAAAATGTAATTCTGTCATTCAAAAGTGCCAGAAAGCAATATAGCTAGCTAGAAAGGCTACATTCATAGTTTTTTTATATAGTTATAACTAAAAGGTAGTTATATTTGAATCCAAGTGACAGTCAGAAGAGAAGTAGGTAGGGATCGGGACCACGTGGACATGCAGCGCACTTCAGAGAAAATCAGCAAGCAGATAGAAGAGCAGGCCATTAGGGAAAGATTCTTAATGTGTTGAGAATTGCCCAGGAGAAGCACACCAAATGCAGGTCTTCTAATTTTAAATCCACTGTGCTTCTACCATGCAATACCTTTTGTCTTTGCTGATTCAAAATGAAATTTACCCAAAGTACAGCCTCAGCAACACACAGTAGGGGAAGGTCTGTGAGTCTGACCCTGGTCTTCTCCCCTGCTCACCCAGGTGGTCTTTGAAAAGCAAAGACATCTCTGAAAAGAAAGGATGGTATTATATTATACAGAGACCTCCACAGGGTCCCTCTATCGTTTGAATTAAATCTATATCTGAACAAACTTTTCTTCATTCACAAAAACTGCTACTCCTCATTTTAATTGAAAGATGAGCACCCTGAAAATGTGAATGAAAATAATCTCAGCCTTTACCTCCTTTCAAAGAAAATGCACAGTGTTAATAAGATATTTGCATAATATTTTATGGTTTATTGTATATATGCATCTAAATTATATTTACATTTCAAAGTGTTTTACTCCCTGTGAAGTTCAGATTCTTTCTCTCCATTTGAAGAATGGCAGATTTGAGACACAGAGAAAAGAAATTCAACTTGCCAAACTTCGTAACAGTCCAATTGGAACTAGAAAGCAATGTAGCTATTCACAGGGGTACTAGTTAACGGTAAATTAATTGAACACCAATTTGTTCAGAAAGTCACCTGGGTTGGTTTCAGGACAACGCAGTCATTGTGATTCTATGCAGCTTCTTATACAATCTTCTAATTTCTTAGTTGCCTCTTTGCTTGTGTCTACCTGCAAAGAAATTCAATTGCTTCTTGTCACACAAAGCATGTTCCACAAGGCACATGTCACCTAAATTTTCAGAAGCAGCAGCTGTCTTCTTAGGGAATGCTATTGTTACTTCTGTAATTAAGGCAAGGTGGCCAGGTGGTCTCCACACCAAGACACTTTAATTTACTCTGCCTGGAAACCCACTTAAATCAGAAAGTAGAGTTTCCAGGGGATTCTCCACAAGCGGTGAAGAGTGAAAAGAATTAAGGGTATGTGTTGCACAACTTGCAGTGACCTACAGGCAGCCTGGGGAACTAGTGATGATTTCCAATGTAGACATTTGCAAAAATAAGAATAAGCATGGGAAAACAGTGATAGTCAACATTTATTGAGGGGTTAGTCTGTGCCAGACCCTGATCCAAAGGCATTCAAAGTAATTACACATTTGATCCCCAAGCCAGTCCAATGAAGAAGGCACTATTATTACCAGCATTCTACAGATGAGAACACAAGGGTGGTGAGTAACTTCCGCAAAGTCAGAGCCGGTGTGAAGCAAAGTCGGGAACCCAACCTAGGCAACTCACCTAAAACCACAGGCTAAGAGCAGCTTTTTCTGCAAATGTGTTCATAGATGTTAAAGGGAAAATAAAAGTTTTGATTGTTGAAAACGCAGCTAGAATGGTAGATTATGGGTGTTAATAATTACATTTATTGAAGACTCTGGAGAAACACTGGAATACGTTTAGGATAAGTGAGTAAAGAAGAAGACAAAATGGTATAGACATCTTACATTTGAAAAATGCATCTGTAGAGAAATAGAGATAAAGGCGGCAATACACCACTAAATACAAGCAGATTATCACTTAAAAATATGGTGGACATCATGTTCTTTAATCACAAAACTGTGGAGGAAATGTTCTGTTGGCTAGGAAAGGAACAGAAAGCTATGCACACGTTTTCTTCTAAGTCTCATGAAAAGAGTTAAAGAAGCAAAATTTGTTTTTATTTTATTATTATATGTTTTAGAGACAGGGTCTGGCTGTGTTACCCAGGCTGGACTTGGACTCCTGGGCTCAAATGATCTTCTCACCTCAGTCTCCAGACGTTGTGGCATACAGGCACATGCCACTACACCTGGCTGAAATTATTATCATTATCATCATTATTCTTATTTTACCTGGGTTAAGCAGTTAAATAAAAAGTTTTTCAGCAAAAATTCCTATAAAGAATCACATCCAGCCGGGCGTGGTGGCTCACGCCTGTAATCTCAGCACTTTGGGAGGCCAAGGCAGGCAGATTGCCTGAGGTCAGGAGTTCAAGACCTGCCTGACCAATATGACGAAATGCCGTCTCTACTAAAAATAAAAAAATTAGCCAGTTGTGGTAGCATGTGCCTGTAATCCCAGCTACTCAGGAGGCTGAGACAGGAGAATCGCTTGAACCCAGGAGGCGGAGATTGCGGTGAGTTGAGATCATGCCATTGCACTCCAGCCTGGGCGACAAGAGTGAAACTCCATCTTAAAAAAAATAAAAAATAAAAACCAATCACATCCAGTCTTCAGAAAGGCTGAACGTTTGGAAAGAACATTGCCTAGAAAGCAGTGTGTGAAGAATACTTATGCCTCAATGTTAGAGCCAGGATTGCATTAAGTGGTGATTTAAAATATCTGGAAATTTGAATAAAGTCCCAATTGCAACTTACTACATATTTATTTAATCCAATTGTAAGTCTTGTTTAAAATACACATATAGTAAATACTTAATAATAAGAATGCAGTGGTTTTAATAAAAACAAGTTTGAGAAGCAGAGGAAGAAAAGTCATTGTACTTTTTGAGGAAACATACATAAATATGGAAATAGGAGATCTTTTGGGTATTTTTGTTTTGTTTTTCTTTTTTATTTTGAATTATACTTTAAGTTCTGGGATACATATGCAGGTTTGTGACATAGGTATACACGTGCCGTGGTGGTTTGCTGCACCCATCCACCCATCATCTACATTAGGAATTTCTCCTAATGCTCCCCCTCCCCTAACCCCCCATCCCCAACAGGTCCTGGTATGTAATGTTCCCCTCCCTGTGTCCACGCATTCTCATTGTTCAACTCCCATTTAGGAGAGAGAACATGTGGTGTTTGGTTTTCTGTTCCTGTGTTACTTTGCTGAGAATGATGGTTTCCAGCTTCATCAATGTCCATGCAAAGGACATGAACTCATTCTTTTTATGGCTCCACAGTATTCCATGGTGTACATGTGTCACATTTTCTTTATCTTCTCTATCATTGATGGGCATTTGGATTGGTTCCAAGTCTTTGCTATTGCAAACAGTGCTGTAATAAACATACATGTGCAGGTGTCTTTATAGTAGAATGATTTATAATCCTTCGGGCATATACCCAGTAATGGGATTGTTGGTTCAAATAGCAGAAACAGGTGTTTTAACTCTCATTTTTCTCGTTTATCTATATTTAGATTACATCTGTTAAGCCAAATAATGTTAAATAGTCTTCACTAACCTCCAACCTTCATGCTTATAAATTCACACCTACCTGTGCAGGAAATGCTGCCTACCAAATCTGAAATAATACTTGAAGCTGCTGCAAAGTCTAACATAAAAATACTTAGCTAATTAAAGAAATAAAACTATATCATCGTAATTAGGAAAAGGAAAATAAGGAAAGCTGACCTGCCTATAGCAGCTACTTTTTACTAAAAAATAAAAATGAAAAACAAAACAAATAAGCAAACAAAAAGCACGGAAGTGGCAGAACATAAGCTTTCAGTAAAATTTTTGGAGGAAATCTGTGAACTAGCAGAAATTTGCATCCCGTTGGCAAAGGGGACTCTGAGGACCCAAGTTTTAGAATTCACAGGAATTGTGGGGAGAACTCTGGGCTCATATAGCCCATGAGACTGAAGACTTGAGTCACGTCTCCCTAAGTATTTGGGATCTAAAGCAGCCCCAAGTGACATCTGGGCAACCTTGGGGCACTGGACTGGCAGATAAACTGGCCTCCAATGCAAAATGCAGTATTTTGAGTCTAATAGTGAGTCTAAATGCACCCTCATCTTGACTGTGAGACCAGGGAACCTACAGCTCAAGGAAGAAAGATGACTGTCTCTGCATGGGCCATGTTGATGCTTGGACCAGGGGAGAGTGGTGACAGAACCCTGAGGTTCACATTAAAATGTGTGGAGTAACACCCAGGTCAGGCAGGTAGAGACAGCAACACATACAAAGCATTCTGTGGTGTCTTAGCCAGGGTATTGCAGGACAAGAAATAAACTGATCAACCCACCAACCAGAGGAAATCCTGGCCATGGGTGATTACTGCAGCTTCTTAAGTGACACACAATCCTGAAAAAAAAACAAAAAACTTTGATCACTGAGAAGGGGTTTTCTCCTGATTCAAAGGCTGGGGCAGACTCCTCAGAGCCTGGTCTCCTCCTAAGGAGTAACTGCTAGGCAAGCTGGGATCCATCGGCCACAGCCACATGGATATAAGCCAACATATGGCATCTGTGAGAAGGCAGAGCCAGATTGAAGAGGAGGATTCTGAGCTGCTGAAATGTTCCCAGGGAGTCAGGCCTCAGATGTGGAGAAGCAATGGTGATAAATAGAAAAATTGCATGGTCCAGAATTGAAAATTATACAAGGTCAAAAAGTCATAACTCTCCCTGTCTCCGGGGAAGAATATCCAACAGCACTCAAGCATGCAGGAACGTGCACGGTGTTGTGATCTATGTGGCAGGTTTCTGAGCACACAGCACCATGAAGAAGAAGAAGAGACCTCAAGGTATAAAACCTCCTGAGATCTTGGCGGTAAGCTCCATGCCAACTCCTCCTGATTGCAGTTTGGAAGACCAGGTCCCACTGGAGCAAGGCAGAGGGGAAACAACCGCCGGCAAGACATCCCTAGAGAAACTGAACCCATACAAGAATTGCTGATTCCTGCTCATTTAGGAAGACAGATGGAAGGTGGTGGTCATCTGCTGTCCCCAGGAGACAAACCTTGCAGAGGTCTGGAAGCTTCAGCTTACGTCCCCAGAGCCAGAACTTATGGAGGAGGCTGAACTCCCAACAGGAAAAGATCATTGTTAGGTTTCCCATTCTGGTCAGATGGGATCTTCAGAGCAAGCCAGAGGCTCTGAAGAGACACTGCACCCATCCCCCTGGTGCAGGTGTGACCCTACAGGCAGCCACCACATGCGACCCATCAGAGCCCAAGTACTGTGGAGAAAAGGCAAGAAATACAATATTCCTCAAAGATTTGGGGAGATGAAGCTGCCCTCCATTTGTTTTGCCTTCAGCTCTTGAAGGACATCTTGGGGCACATTGCACCAAAAAGAATTCCAGAAACTGAGGTCAGAGAATGAAGAAAAGCCAGTTAGTCCAGGTACCCCCTCCCAATCCTAGTTCCTAGAGGAAGCGGCAGAGATGGGTGGGTAAACCTGTAAACCCTGGCTCTGAGGGTAGAAGGAGTTGCCAAAGTCTCAGCCTGGAACTTCCATGGCCCTCCTCGCCACCTTCACGCCCTCAGGCAGCTCTTTCTGTATCCCAGTTGCCTGAACATTTCTGCTGACCATGAGTAGCCCAGCCTGACTGAGAAGCCCTGTGTAGAAGGGACAAGATATGTCCCCTACTGGCCTGTAGCATGGAAACAGATCCCCAGACACAGTCTCAGAAGAGCACACTGCCTGTCACCTACCGAGCACGCGGTGTCAGGAGGCGTCAGTCTGGAGGCCACAGTTGGGCATCATTTCTTGTCTCTTCCTCATCCATCCCCTGGACAGATCACCTGCATTGGGACCATCACAAGATACCAGAAGACGAGAAAAAAAAAAAGTTATTCACTGGAATTTCAGGAAATTGTATGAAAGGCAAAACGGCCTAGCTTGGTTGATCCCTGAAAAAAAATGTTTTTAAAGTCAGAAAATAGGCCCCTGTGTTGGGGGAGAGTTGAAGGAATAGTTTTGACCAGGTGCGATGACTAACGCCTGTGATCCCAGCACTTCGGGTGGCTGAGGCAGGCAGATCACGAGGTCACGAGTCCAAGAGCAGCCTGGCCGACACAGTGAAACTCCGTCTCTACTAAAAATACAAAAATTAGCTGGGCGTGGTGACGCATGCCTATAATCCCAGCCACTTGGAAGGCTGAGGCAAGAGAATTGCTTGAACTGGGACCGGGGAAGCAGAGCTTGCAGTGAGCCAAGATCGAGCCACTGCACTCCAGCCTGGGCTACAGAGCGCGACTTCGTCTCAAAAAAAAGAAGAAGGAGAAGGAGAAGAAGAGGAAATAGTTTCCACTTCCCAAGTGAATGTTCAGGGTATAGAAGGTCCCCCGCTAGGATTTCAGTTGAAGGAGTCAGGGGACTGCAAGCAAGCATGCAGGGAGCACATTGGAGGCTGATGATAATCAGACAGTCAGCGGCAACCCTGCACCACGGCACCCTAATGTCCTTCATGAAGCCACTCAGCACACATTGCTTGGCTGGAGCGGATTTTCTCACCCAAATGGCAGATCTCTGAGCCCAGATTATCATGGAGGTAGTGGTGAGGTGACAGTCACAGCCAAGGGAGTAGAGAAAGGGGCATCTCTGGAGAACAAAAAGCATTTTCACAAGCTTTGAACCCCTGGGGTTGAGAGGTGAGCCAGATTCATCTAAACCTCCAACAGCCAAGGGGTCTTCTGAGTTTATGAGATTCAATTTAAAAAATGAAGAATAGGCTCTTCTAGTAGCTAACCTGCTGCCTAGCCCGGAATAAGAATCCATTTGACTCTTCTTCCATTTGTTAAGTGAGGGCTGACTTCTGGTTTCAAGCTTTAGGTACCTACTCTGTGCTTGGGATTGTGCCAGGGACCATGTCTCTGTTTCTGAGAGTCATACATTCCTTTGGAAAAGGCATTGCCTGTACTCAGTGTGACACCTGATCGTGCAAGGATTCCAGATTAATATCCCATGCAGTACTGGGCAGCAAGATGGGCGCTGCACCCACAGGGGTTGCTTTGTTAGAGATCCATCCAGACAGTGCATCTTTGGGGTTTTGGAGCCTAGGATTCTGAAGCGTGTGTTGCTGTATGCGTTGAGGAACTACAAGGATCTTCTTTGTATTGGACATCTTAATAATCACATTTTAATATAATTATTTTCCTTTGTAATCGTATGTATTTACTTCTTATTGGGGTATCATTTAGACACCATAAAACGTGTGTATGGGTTCAATGAGTTTTGACAATTGCATATACTCACACGACCACCTCCCTAAACAGGATACAGAGCATTTCCAAACCTCAGAAAGTTTCCTCAAGTCAACTCCAATCCAAAACTGAACCTGCAGTGTTCTGACTTCCACCACAGTAGGTCGGTCCCGCCTGTTCTTGACTTCACCCACATATCTTTCCTGGGTGGCTTCTCTTGCTTGACACAGTGCTTCTGAGATTTGAAACACAAAGCATGCATGGAGTGTGTTCCTCGGGGTCTTGGAAGGAAGACTATCTGGAAGGTGTTAGGGGTGTTTAATAAAGGGCTACACGTTGTAAGCAGGGACTCCTGCTCCACAAGCTGCTCAGGGTGAGTCACAACCTGAAGCCAGCACGTTCCTCACCTGAAGAGGGGCAGGAGCAGCCACTGGAAGAGGAAAGACAGCTGCATCAGGCCAGGAGGCCTTTGGTCAGGAACAGCCAGCCTGGGCAACCACAGAGGGAAGATGTCAGGAATAAATACCCTGTCTCTCTCTCTCCTTTCCAGATGCCCCACTGGCCCAGCGCAACTGTGAGCCAGAAAGTAGGAGAGGCCGTTAATTCCCCACAAAGAGGCCAGCCGAGGTAGAGAGCTGCAGGAAAACATCTGGAGCTGGAAGGAGAGGGTGTTCAGCGCCTGGCCGCGTGTTCAGGAAAACCCAGAGTATATGTAAAGGCATGGGGGTCTGACTGCAGGGAGGGGCACAGTTAAGGAAGTGCTCGAAAATTAGCTTTCTTACCCTTCCCTCCTTTCTTCTTCTCACCCTGCCTTCCTGCCTTCCTCCTTTCCTCCCTCCCTCCCTTCTTTCCTTTCTTCCTTCCTTTATTCAGCCTTCCTTCTTTCCTTCCTCTTTTCCTTTTTTCCTTCCTTTGAAAATGGCCGTACCTGCTATGGACAATGATTGTGTGTTTACTACTATGTTCCAGACACTCTGTTAGGAGCTTTACATACTTATAAATATTGAGCTTTAATATTGAATATTCTTCAAACACCTATTTTGAAGGAATGGCTATACCCATTCTACAGACTAAAAACCAGAGATTCAGAAAGTTTGCCTGTGGGGCTCTAAGACAAATATGCCAGCATTCCCCCCAGATTCATAACCAACAGATACAAACAGCTGTTGTACCCAGGGACCTGTGAGAAATGGCACTCTAGGAATGCACCAGACTGCAGCGACCAGGGAGCTCCTAGGAGGATGGGGCCTCTGACCAATGCTTGAAGGAGGGGGGACTCCCTGTGCAGGCTGCAGAGGGCATTCCAGGTGTGTGGACAGCAGCAGTAGAGGCACAGAGGGAGGGGGTGAGCTGCCAGCTTGGAAAACGGAGATCATCCACTTCGAGGTGATGAAGGTTACTGAAAAGAAAAGGTAGTAAGGGATTAAGGTAGAAAGGCAGTGAACACTGAAATTCTGAGTTTCATACCACAGACAGTAAGGAAACAGTAAAAATTTTGATCAAGGAATTTGCAGAATCATAATGGATCTTCCAGAAAATGTCTTGTGTCAGTGGGTAAAATGGATGATCTATAATAGAGACAATCGGGAAGTTATTGCAGTGATCCAGGAGAGAGGTTCCGACTACAGTCGTGGCTGCCGCAATGAAAACAGACAGTCCTGAGATAGACTGGGAGAAAACAGCTCAATAGGACCCAGCACCAGGGTGGACGGAGTGCTAGAAGAACAATGAGTCCTGAGAAAACAACTAGAGAATCCAAGCTGGAGGCGAGATGAGCGCAGGGAGGAGAGGAGAGCTCAGCAGAGGGAAGAAGTTAAGGGCAGAACCAGAGCCATGGAAAAGAGAGACGCTAAATTGGTTTAGACAAATTGCACTGAGGAGGCAGCAAGGTGTCCGGGGAGAGCTCTTTGGTAAGCTATGTGGGAGGTGTTGGGGAGTCCGATGGAGAGCTTGGCTTCAGACAGGGGCCTGGTCAATGCTGGGAGCAGAGGAGAAAGCTGAGGGAGAAAGAGTAGGCAAGAGAAGGCAGCCAAGGATAAGATATCCAGGTTGCTCTATGCTCGGCTGCTCAGCCACCACTGTGCAAAGACCCAGGACTTAGCAATGGTCAAATTACTGTCTGACTCAGTTTGTTTTCTTTGGGGAAAGGGGAGGAGGGAGAGGACATTTCAGATGTATAATAATAATACTCCTTAAACCACAGGTGGCATATTCACTTTCTTCAAGTCAGAAGTTGCCAAGGGCACTTTATTTCTAGACCATTCTTTTTAGAAATCAAATCGTCAGGAATTGTGCTTCTGGGAAATGTTGTACCAAACACCTATTAAATATGCAGCCATGCCGTTTGTTTTGCATTTTTCTTAAGGGTAACAATTAACCTTTAAAAAGTCTGACCTTTCCAAAGAGGTAGACCTGTTGCGGGGAGCTCTGAGGTGTTGGGTAAATGTTTCAGAGAATTGTTTGCTTCAGGAGCGTCATAGACTTAGGGCTACCGAGGTTTTCTTATCCTGTAATGCTGTGGTTCTGAAACCGTTCACTTGCATGATATGCTTAATTTGTGAAATGAAGCCGTCAGTTGGAGTCACAGGGCTCAGCCCCCGGCACCGCGAGACGGGGGAAGGAAGCACAGCTGGCAGGACAGGCACTCACATCTCACACACTCGGCAGGGAACACATGCCCCACAGCAGAGCCTGACTTGAGATTGCCCCTCAGCTTATTCCTAACCACTACCCAGAGGCGCAGCCCCAGCCCAGATCCACTGGAAACCAGCCTGGTCACCTGTTTTCCTACCACCAGGGGAATCGGCCAGTCCTTGCAATTCATCACCAAAATGATCTTTCTACTTGGAAATCTTACCACGCCATGCCGCTGATTAAACCTCCAGTGTCCCCATGTTTATCCAGGACACAAGGAGGAGCCTGTGATCTGGTCTCTACTCACTTCTTCAGCTTTAGCTGCCATTCTTCATCCCGCCCCCCACCTTGTACACACAAACACACGTTGTCCTTAAGACAAACCAAAGTCCCCATGGCTCCCTACAAGTCTCCACTCAATGGGCTCTCTGCACGCCCCGCTCCTGGAGAACCCTCCAAGTCCTCATTGGCAAATGCCTGCTTTTCCTTCCAACGCAGCTCAAACGTTGCCTCCTTTGGAGTGCCAGCTGTGACCCATTTCCATCAGGTGGCTCTTGATGTACCCATAGCATTCTATAGATGCCTGTTTCCTAACAGGGACTCTACTCTGTCCTATTCATCATGTAAAGTGGTCCAAGCTCCCAAGAAACCACACACAGAGGAGAACATTAAGCAATTTTGTGCAATCGATACAAGAATAAATGCATGATGAAAACTTTTCTTCCAACAGACATACTTGAAAAGTACACAGGCACACTTTCCCCAGACATTTCTGGAAAATAAAAGCACCTCCAGTATCAATCTGATTCCAACTAATGCACGATGGTATGCCCACAAAGGGTTAAACTGAAGACAGCCAGGGAAAAGGATGGTTGACAGGAGCGTGTTGGAGATGGAGCGAGCCACTTGCCGTTGGACTGAATTGTCCTAATACGCATGAAAAGGCAGCGCTCAGCAAGGCTTGACCAGCACATCTAGGACACATGCTAGATGGAGGCCACAGAGATGTGGGTGAGACAGAGGCCCCACTTTATGGGAGCTTAGAGTCTAGTAGAGAAAGAGAGAAAGGCAGACAATAAGAACCTCGAAGAGAGAAAATGGCCAACACCCCCAGGAGGTGCAGCAACCTCTCAGAACTTAGCCAAGAGCAGTGGCTAGTGGGGAAGGACCCTGAAGGAAGAGGGAACAGCAGGCAAAGGCACCTTTGAAAGGAGCTTTCAGAAAGTTGCAAGCACCTCTGCATGACTGGAGATCGGCGTTTCATCACAGGGGGCCGAGAGATGAGACCAAAGAGATAAGCAGTGGATGGACTTTAGGAGACATCCCACGGCGTGCTAAGGAGATAAATCTTACACTCTAAGCAGGTGGGAGCCGTTCCTAGAGGAACAGGAAAATCACTGAGCAGCACTACGTGTGGAGTGTGAGGAAAGAAAGGGATGGGAGTCCTTGCTGGCACAAGCCTCAATTATGTACTCAGATTAAAGCTGAGAAATAATTCCACCTACAGGCCCAGCAGGGTTCCCATGCACAGTCGGGGGGTGCATGCAGTCAGACGTCCTGGGGAAGCACAGATGGGTTCTCACACAGCCTGTCAGGTGAGGAGCAAACACACGGCTCCAGAGAGAGGTCTGTGGTCCGAGGTGCGCTGCGCGGCCGCAGGGAGACACAGCCCGTGGTCAGTGAAGCTCTGTCAAGGTGCACGTTGGACAAAAATTCCCTCCGCTCACTGACCTAGAAAGTATGCAAGAAAACAAATGAAAAAGGATTCATTACCTCAAAAGGCCAGCAAAGATCATCTTCTCTTATCAGATAATGAGAGTGCTCTTCAGGAGCTGAGCATAAAAGAGAATCTATTACAAACACTGATTCCAGACGTGATGTGAAATACAGCATCATCACAAACTGTAGTTCTTTACCAAAAAAAAAAAAAAAGACACTCCGTAAATTTCAGACACAATTAGAAATGCAAAGATAACAAAGTCATAGGAGGAGGAGGAGGGGAAAAAATATTGGTTCTAGAGAGACAGTTAACAGTGAGGAAATATTAATATTGATTTCTACTTTTACAGCAGTAAGAATAATCAGGCTGAACCGGTGACTCAATTAACACACCAACGCTTAACCAGGGCACCAAAAGCAAAGTTCGCTGTGCTGAACACATCAAAATTCTGCACAAATCAATTTAAAATCACTTCCCCTCTTCTAGCGTGATGATGAATTTATTAACAGGCTCAATTGAGAGGATTACTCGGTCCCCACACCTCCCTGTGAGCGCTCAGGCTACAAGTGTTAAAATCCAAGGGTCACTAATGGAAGAATCCATGGAGGGGACACAGCATGGGAGGCAGAGATGGGAAAATGCACACCTGGGTGCTCGGCTCCCCCAGCGCATCCTTAGAACTGCCTGGATGATGGCAGTGTCAGGGGCAGGACGAGGTAGGGTTTGCCAGGCATCAGCCTAGATCAGCATCTTCTGTTGCCAGCAAGAATGCACCAGAAAACAAGAACCAATTCAACATTTGCATTAGTCAGTGTGTCCCCACATTCAAACAGGAAATAAAAAATAATAGAAAGGGAGTGGATATAAGGATGTAAAAGGAACAGCAAGACTACCCCAGTTCAAAACAGCCACTGAGCTCACCAGGAGAGGAAATGGAGAAGGGTAGGTCAAAGGAGGCAAACTTGCCATTTTGCAGGATGAAAAGCTCTGGAGAGCCAACGAACAGCATGAGGACTAGAGTTAATGTTATTGGATGATATACTGAAAATTTGTTCGGAGAGTAGATTTTAGGGTCTCTTACAACAACACAAAAAGGTAACGATGGCAGGTGATGGACATGCTAATTTGCATGACTGTAGTAATCATTTCACTATTTAGATATAGATCAAAGCATCATATTGCACACCAAAAATCTATATGCTAAAAAAAACAACCACTGAGTCCCTTGAATTCGACCTCCTAAATAATTCCTCAGTCAGCCCTGCCCCTGCCTCCCTACACTTTCCTAGTCCAGGTCTTCATGCTGCCTCCCGGGTCATTCCCAGAGCCTCCTGATTTGTCAGCCTGGCATGGGTCCTGTACCTCCGTTGGAGGAGTGCCACCAGCATGGCACGTCCAAAGCAAGATTCCATCAGAGCTCTTGCTCAACAGTCCCTGGTGGCTCCCACTGCCTCCTGAGTAACCCCAGATGGCATGCATGTCCTCAGCCTCTCTGCAGCCAGCTCCTTCTGCCTCCACCTTCCCCATCTGCTTCGCACCATGTCGTTTTGCAATCCTGGTCCCCTTTAGTTCTTAGAGCACACATGGGGGCATCTCACTCCACAATGCCCATCTAGACTCACGCTGTTCCCCCTGGCTGCACCACCCTCCGCCTGCTTCCCGAATGACCTGGAAAAGTCCTGTTGGTCTGCATTAGTCAGAGAAGCCTGGCTGCTGTAACAGACAATCCTGTGCCACCATGCATCAACACCATGACGGTGCGTGTGCTCACCTGCCCATCCCACGACTTCTGTTTCACTCAGCCATTCAGGCCCAGGCTCCACCCCACCAGTAGTGGCTCAGCCCCCCAGGGCCTCAGCATCCAGCTAGCAGCCAGGGAAGAGGTACCAGGAAGCCTGACAGGGAGGGTTTATGGGCCAGGCCTTGAAAAGTTAAAGGTGGATGGAGGACATCATTTCTGATGTCCATCCACGGAGTGTATCTCTATGCCTAGTGGAAGAGGTAGCCATTTGAGAGCAATTAGCCTGTCTCTCCAACAACATCTTCTCAGGCCAGACAGGACACCATCTCCCTCTGCAGCCTTTCAGCTCCCTGCTCACCCCGCCCTTACACTGGGGATCTCTTTCCTCCATGACACCCACCAGACACTAACGGTATTGTAGCACGGACTGGGTCTCCACCTCTGTGCCCCACCCCCTTATATGACAGGCTCTGGTGCATCTGGAAGTCAATCAGAATGCACCAGAGCCTGGCAGCAAAATGGAGACACGTTTCATGGAGGAATGCGTGGTGCCTGGAGAAGGTCTCCTCTTCCAGGCACTTGCTGACCTGGCCCCACTCTCTCACTGGAACCGAACAGGACCTTGGTAAACAGATATATGCCAAAAGGAGCCATAGCGTGCCTTTGGACAATGTTTGTCTTTAAAATGGTAGAACACAGTGAAATGAAACAGGCCTGGGCCTAAGAATTAATATACGAGGACTGGAGGAAGGAAAGAAGTGAACTTTTCAAAATTTTTCCCCTGCCTTGATAAATAGGTACCTAAAGGCATGCATAAACAGAGGGAATAAATGATCAAGGTGAAGGAGAAACAGAGCCCTTGTGTTCAAGCAACAGTGATAATTTCTCCAGTTCATTGGTGTGATAGGCACTGTGCCGAGATCCTTGTATCTGCTATTTCTTCCAATGCTCAGTGGTAATCCTTCAAGGTACGTGCTATTAATATGGACACCTTAAAAAGGGAGGGAACTAAGATTCAGAGATGATGGACATCTTGCTCAAGGTCACACCCTCAGAGCATAATGCAATTAAGATTTGAACCCAAGCATCTCATACCCAGTAGCGTACAGGATGACAGCATCTGTGAGTTAGAAGGAGGGTAATCATCTACGATGGGGTGCATGTCGGGAAAGGCATCTGGAGGTCAATCAGAATGCACCAGAGCCTGTCAGAAAATGGAGACGCGTTTCACGGAAGAATGCGTGATGCCGGGAGAAGGTCTCCTCTCCAGGCACTTGCTGCCCTAGCCCCATTCTCTCACTGGAACCAAACAAGACCATGGTAAACAGATCTATGCTAATATCATCTCTTCTTCCTATAGACAGCAAATTTTCTGAGCCATTCTACGCAAATCCCGGAGGCTGGGATCGATGAGGACTGCTCCATTCATCGTAGGAGAATGCAGGAGAAACATTGATATTCCAAGCTGTATGTTTCATTTGTAAATTAGAAACACTTACCTTTAATTCATATTCTCACCATTTTTGCTATTACTTTTGAGCACTCGAATTTTGTGCCCTGCTTTTACGAGGCCCTTAATCTTCAGCTCCGAGGGCCTAAAATTGTCATTCAGTCTAAATTAATAGCAGTCTTACTGGCTCATTATTTTTGACATCTGGTTGGAAGTGCAAAGCAATAGCTATTAGGTAATAATCGCAGTAGGCTCTGATTAGAAACTAATAACATTAGCAATAAACGTTAAATGTGGTTGCCATGAAGCTTTGAAGCTTGATCGAAGGCAGAGGACACAGCGCTGTTCTGCAACGGAGAGAATCTGGGGGAGGGGGCTGAAACTCACCTCCCAGTTCCCCCAGATCAGACCACCAGCCCTGGTAACGTACATCACCAAAAACAACATCTGATGCTATAACAGGAAAGAAAAATGTAGTAGACAAAAATCACAAGGCTTGAATGGAAATACAGCAAAGTGAATATTCTGAATTTCCCAAATTCACAAATAATTCACAGAGATTTTTATTTTTCTGTCAACGTTTTCCTGTCTTCTTCAACAAATGTGCACAAAACCGTTTCTTGCACTGGTAATTATTGATACTTATTGAGCACTAATTATGGTCCAGGCCCTCTTATTCTAAGCACTTCATATACATTATTGCATGCAATTCTCACCCCGCCCCCACCCCCAATAAAAAGCCTATGGAGTTGCTGCTGTCATTATTCCCATTTACAGATTGGAGCCTGAGGCACAGAGAAGTAAAGTCACTATCCCAGGCCACACATCTTGCACAGTAGCGGAGCTGAGGCTTGGATCCCAGCAGTAACGCTCACACTCACACAACACTGTCATTCTTGCTTTCATTTTCTAACAAGTTTTTCTGGAGCATGTACAATTTGCCAAGCGTTCCTTTCTGAGCTATAGCAGAAGGAGACTGGAACACAAAGGAACACAGGCACATATAGTCCTGGGCACTAACTGACTTGCCTGGATTGTTGCAATAGCTTCCTAACTTCTGAGCACCTCTTCTTTCTGGTATTTCCCAACGAAGCAGCCAGAGGGATCCTGTTAAAATGTGAGTCAGGTCATGTCACTCCTCAGTTCAGAACTTTCCTCTAACTCCCTGTCTTGTTCACAACAAAGGACAAATTAAACAGGTTGATTTATGTCCACCTGGAGCTCCCCTCTTCTATCCCGCCTGTCACTTCTCTGGCCTGTCTCTCACACCTGTCCCATTTGGTCCATGCCAGTCCCATGAGCCTACCCTCCACTAGCAAACAGACCCGCACCTCCTACCTCAGGGCCTTTGCAACTGCAAAGTGCTCTTCCTAGAGTGCTCATCCCATTCTATCTCTTTTACTTTTTTTTAGTTGACAAATGTTTATGGAGTCCAACATGATGTTCTGAAATATGTATACATTGTGGAATGATGAAATCAAGCTAGCTAACATATCCATCACCTCACATGCTTTTCAATTTTGATAGGAGAACATTTAAAATCTATTCTTTGGGCAGTTTATTATTAATTATAGTCACTGTGCTGTACGATAGATTTCCAGAATTTATTTTTCCTGTTTAACTGAAACTTTGCCCCCTTTAACCAACATCTCCCCATTTCCTGAACCCCGGCCTTCAATCCCTGGTAACCACCACTCTAGTCTCTGCCTCTGTAAGTTTGATTTTTTTTAAAGTACACATGCAAGTAACATCATGCAGTATTTCCTTCTGTGCCTGGCTTATTTCACTTAGCATAATGCCCTCCAGGCTC